CGTGATCAGCGGTGATCCCTGCAGACCGACAGGGATTTATCTCAAATACTTGCCGTGTCGTTGATTGGTGGGGAATAGCCTGACAGGTCATATCTTGACTCGACCCTAGTCGATGTTGCATCCCAGGAAGTCGGGTTTTGTTGTTGACAATGGTCTCTACTATTTGTTTTTTATTTACTTTTTTACCCGGACGTGTGGGAGAGTCCGATCGGTCCACACGAGGTTGAGGGATCTTGCATGGCCTGGTATGAAGTAATCTCCTGCACTTCCCGAATGGGAGATGACTTCATGATCTCAGACGGTGGTGTGTTTTGCATTGTCTCCCACCTGTCGTCGGCCCTAAGACGCAAATCATTAAATCATCAAACAATAGTCGTTTCCACCCCCCATATCAGATTGAGACATAAGCCACCTTCGAATAAGGGGTTATTTCTGTTTAGTGTTGAGACAAGAAGCTGAGTTGACTCCACCGACCAGCTCTCGCCTTCATACGAGTGCTTCCCCGTTTTTATTCTTAGCATCTAGTAGTCACCCGCTCTGGGGCAAGCCGTCTGGAATAGATTAAGTATGTACGAATGTACGAATGTACTCCGTATTATCGACATTATTGCCCTGGGGCCTGTCGATATCCGCTAGGCCTATCCTTGCCCAAACGAGCCGACAACAATGACAAATACCTGGGGACCAATCCCCAGCGGCAAAAGTGGTTCGTTAGACCCCACCGCAAGGTCATCCAGACGCCACCTGGTATCCCACTAACGATATTTACGTTTGTTACGCGCCCAGAGTGGAGTGTATGGTACAAACAAGCAAAAAAGGTGTGGCTTGGGACGGCATTTTTTGTTCAACGGTTTCCACCAGGTGGGGGGGACCCAGCTGCAGGAGACCTAACCGGGTATCCCACAGACAAGGGCGATCCCTCTAGCCCCGATCGTTTCAATGCATCGGGCCAGCGCAAAAATCCGGTGGCCCCAAAACGTTAGGGTGGAAATAGTGGGAAGAAGGACGGGAAATAGATTGGTTACCAGGGGCCAGTTCCGACAGCTCATTGCACGCAGCGTGCAGGCGAGTGGACGATCCTCAGATCTACTCATCGCTAAATGGATCCGGCGCACCGTAGAAATGGGATACCACCACGTCAGGGTCGGACAAAGATCATCCTCAGGCCAGTGACAGGTGGCAGGTGGCCCCTGCTTTGGCTTTTCTGGTTCTGGTCTTGGTGACGAGTGTGTCTGTATGTACATACTTACTCGGTACTTTGGATTCAAACATAGAGACTAACTACATATTATGTACTTAATTGCATAAGCGAAGTGGAGGGTTGCAGTACGTCCGTAAGTAAAAGATGGAGGGATTCGAATAGGTACGGGTAGACATACTGTATGCACAATGTAGTCACAGCGTTACGGGAGGGTTCGTGGGTTCGATCAGTTCGATCGCTGCAAGGCACACAGGCGAAGGAACCACGGGAAAAGGGGTGCTCAATGTCTGGGAGACGTGCAACGCTCGATCCACATTCCAGGTACTATTTAGCCTTCGGATTTGCTCGGGGTGGACGAGGCTCAGCTGGAGAGCTGGATACGGAGTCACCGTTGATGGCTTCAGATCTTTCAGACTCTATTCTTGATCAGATCACCCCTTTTTATTTAATAATTTTTTGGGGGTCCCCCGTATTATTCGAAGTGATCCTTCTTTCAGGTCATGGCGGGTAGAGAATTTGTCAACACACGATCCGAGCTCCACCTTCTCGCGCCCCACTGAGTGGACCAAAGGAGCTCGAGGAAGCCACCGATCGGACCAATGACCAAACCTGGTTGATCGATTGAACATGAATCGAACGAGATCGAGGGGGTGTCGTGCATGGCTGGCTGACGACAGGAAGCAGAATCGTGGCCCTAACCGCGTCTCTCGCTTGTCACTTGTTGGAAGCTAAGATCTGCCCCGGAAGGGGAGCAAGATTCCCACACCTACTAGCACCCTTGTCTGCGTGTCTGTCAGGGGGTGAATGGGAGGAGAGGTTCTTGGAGCTTTCCGTGGGGGTTAAAGGGAGGTAACTATGGAGTACGAGTAGACAATCTATTTACCTCTTTTTGACCATGGTACTCTTAACGCTACCCGACCGAACCACAATGACTATCCTAATATCAGATTTGAAGTACCATGGTAACGCTCTCCAGATTAGGGCCAATAGGCATGGCATACATCATTATCATCAACTCGACTACATTTTTTGTCACACTCTACCCCAGTTTGCGAACCAGCGCTTTGGGACTCTGCACGACCAAAGTAGATTCCGCACAGTCCTTTGTCCGAGCTCGGACGTTTTTTATTATTGAAAAAAAAAAAAAGAAATAGCTTCCCTTTAGCGCGGGCCATGATTTGGAATTCCAACGACGGGGCTCAGGGTCGATCCCTCCGATCATTACGGTATTCCTCAGCCCGGATTCCCGGGTCGAACGGATCGGGCTTGGGTGATTTTGTGATTTTGGTTTTATTTATTTAATTATTTAATTTTATTTTTAATCCCATTTTATTAAATTTAATCTATTTTGTTTCTTTGAATTACTACTCTAATTCTATTGTATTCCTCTTTCTTTGACGCGATGAAGAGAGGAATGCATGATATTCTCTGTTGAAGCAGGAAAAGAAAGGGAAATAGAAGTGACTGAATCCTCCAAATGAACAGCAATATAATACTCCGTTCTCCATACATAAGGGAGTGTTCTCGATGTAGTAAAATACCCACTCAACTCCATACTCCATACTCCATACCATACCATACACAGTATCCGCAGTATTGTTCCGAACTGTCAGCTCCGAGATCTTGGATCGTGATCTTCTTCCCATAGCGTGTGCGAGTGGAGCTGGACATTTTTCTTGGACCCGTCCCCCTGGGTGCAGATATAATTATCGCCGGCCTGCTCTTGGTGGCTTGTGTCTCTACAATTCTCCTCAACCTCAACCTCAACCTCAACCTCAAACCTCACCTCACCCTCACCCTCACATCAACCTCCCCTCCCTCTAACCATGGCTCCCGCTCACCGTCGCGGACCTTGGGTCCCTGAAGAAGATCAGTTGCTCTTGCAACTTGTTCGTGAACAAGGCCCTAACAACTGGGTCCGCATCTCTCAGCACATGCACTACCGCTCGCCTAAGCAATGTCGGGAACGCTTCCACCAGAACCTCAAGCCCTCCTTGAACCGGGAACCCATTTCGGCCGACGAGGGTCTTATGATTGAACGCATGGTCAATGAGATGGGCAAGCGTTGGGCTGAGATTGCTCGCCGCCTCGGTAATCGCAGTGACAACGCCGTTAAAAATTGGTGGAATGGCAGCATGAACCGCAAGCGCCGCGGTATCTCGTCCCCAACTATCTCGCGCACATTTACTGGCCGCATCGAGGCTCCCTACGCTCGTGCTTCCGTGGTCAGCCCAACCCGCCCTCGCTTTAGCACCCGCCCTTGGGCCGACTCCGACTCTGGCAGTGAGGAGGCCTACTCCCACTCCCGCCGGGAGTCCTTGGCCACCACCACCCGCCACCTGTCTCCTATCTATACACTTCCCTCTATCAACCGCCCCATCGAGACCCCCTTGACATCGCCTGCTTTCTCAGACATCTCCAATGCTACCTCAACCGAGCCCCCTTCCATGGTTTCCGATCACAACTCCGTCTGCTCCTCGTCACCTCGCACCCTTCCTTCCCCACAACTTCTCCCCTTACCTGTGGATCTGCGTTCGCAGTATGACGTTCGCCGTCCTAGCGTGGCTTCAGTTCATGTCGTCGATGACTCGCCGCAGAGCTACCCCGCACCCTCCCTCGAGTCTCTCTCCGACCTGGCCTCAAAACGCCACTGGATGGAGCACCAGCCTACCCTGGCTTCATGGCATCAGCCGGCAGAGCCCACCCGTGATACCCGAATGGGAGTCAACAACCTCCTCAACTAGGGCTTCCTTGTTTTGGCGAAAACTATCTTGAAACTCGAGGCTTCTAGTGCAGACCCTCTCTCTATTCCTTTGTTATTTACGATTGTACGACTCTCTGATCTGATATTTGCTTTTTTTCTCTTCTTGTTCTATACTTTTTTTTCTTTTCACTATTCCCCCTCACGCGGACTACCAGATCCTGCGATTTGTACATGTGCCAAAAGCCCCACACTCGTTACCTTTTCATTTCATCACTCTCCTTTGTCACTCTTAATGTGTATTACCATGGTTCGGAACCTCAAAAATCTGGGTTGTTTTTTATTACTTTGAACCCTTTTTCTACTTCTTTTACTTCCATCTCTTTTCGGACTATGCGAGAATGTGACTGGGGCTTTTTCTCTCAAGTCGGAGTTTTATCATTGTTTCGCGGGAAAGGGGGGGCGGGGGGGCAGGATTGATCTCCCCCGGGTTTGGGATGAACTAGCATAATACCCCAGCAGCGTTATTATTAGGAATCGACAGTTGTTTCAATTTGATTGAATCCCTCTTTTGAAACAGTTCTATTTTCTACAATTTTTTGGAGTAACCCCAACAAATTGGTCCACTGTGTATGAGCAGCGAAGCGTGGTATGTTGAATGTGAGCCAGGACCAGGGTCTCTATAATTCATTCCCCCTCGACGTTGTACGGAGTCGAGTCGATCAGCCAGCCTTCCTTTCAGTACGGAGTACTTTGTACATAATTCAGCTGCCCTTGTATCACGGCAAAGGCAATCAGTTACCCGCCCGCACGCCCAGGTCTCCACGGTCTTCTCAGGAATGCGCCATTCACAACGCTCACGAGGGCGCACTGCAAGGGGTGCCCATGAGATCATGAGGGAGGGGGAAGGGTGTGTGAGAGAGACAGTGGCAACAACTCTCGTACAGTTGGGAACGACCCAATCCGACCCACCCAGAGCGCTGCACGGCGCCTTTTTCAAACAGTACAGCGGGTCCCACTGTCGTCACGGTGCACAGGACAGACGTGCATCTACCTGGACCTGGGAGCTGGACCTGGATCTCGTTCTGGATCTGGACCATGTACAATGCACAAGTGTATGTGGATGGGCAGATTTTCCAGTACTGAATCCAGCAAAGAAACTCTAACGGAGAGGTTCGTCCGCGCCTGCAGGAGCCCCAACGACCAACGTCCCTCCTCGCCAACCAGTTGGCCGCGATCGCTGTGTGATGCAACGCCCGCTGCGTCTGAGTGGTGCCTCGCCTCACCCACCAGCCCGCCGTCTCGCCCCAGTGGCCAATCACAGCATGCCCCGACTGGACTGGTCACTTTTGACGGAATGAACGGCGGGGCAAGATCATTCGTGTGGGATTGCGGTGTTCGTGCATCATGCACGCTTGGTCTTCTTTTCCGGCTGCCCCCGGCGAGGAGAGGGACGAGGGATGCGCGTCGTGCTTCGACGGTTCCTGTATGTATGTACGTGTGGATGGGGGACCTTCGAGGTCATTCCTCTCACCTGGTAGAGTGTGTGGCTGGAAGGAGGAAGAGGAGGTAGCTCCACTTTCGTCCTTTTGTTCCTTTCTGTGCCGTGTACGGAGTAGGGGAGGGGAGAGGAGGGGAAAGGAGGGATGTTAAGGTCCACTGTGACGCTTTTCGCCGTTTACCTGCGACTCCATCTGCCCGCGTGCTGTGCTGTGCGTCGGCTACTCCGTCACAGAAGTACGGGATATTCCATGGCATCTACGAGTATGTACGGAGTACGAGTATGTACATACAGAGGAGGGGGGTAGGCGAGGTGAATGCCCAAGATGGGCGGAGCTGGATGGTCTGCGAACCACGACTCCTACACCCGACCTCGATGACCTATTGCCATTTCATCTTCACATTCTCGGCTCCCTTTTCGCCTTGCTCTCAGCTACTCGCCACCACATCAGCCAGCCATCGGCACCCCCGTATTGCCGAAAGGGGAAACTGCCTGTGATAGTGATGGGTGGGCTGCATCGAATCAGCGATTCCAACGGCCTCGTCCTTCTGATCATCGGGGACACAGCAATCAATAGTACGAGTACCAGAGAGACCGAGTTCAAGCGAAGGAAGATTTGGAATTTGGCGTTGCTCAAAATTCTCCGGTAATTAATTACGCCTTGTAGGTATAAGTGTGTACATAATTACACATGCTATAACTTGAAGTAGTAGCGCGGTAAGGCTAATGGTAATATTCATCGTAAGTACGGAGTACAGTCTCCATCAGATATCAGATAACCCGACACTGTGGGACCGAAGGGCAGACAAAGAAAATAATAAATAATAAATAAGAAAGTTTTATTCCGTGAAAGAACCACCAAGTTGGGCGAAAAACTAGCATACCCTAGAACTTGGAACAAAGAAACCATCCTCCTGGGAACCTGCTTTATTGGAAATCATAATTCCAATGAAATCTTGTTTGGCAACCTGAATGAGTGGGTGAAAGAACGGGGAGCAGAGTTTGATGGCGGCCACTAGTTCCTCGCTGCCAGGGCCAACTCCCGGCACCAGCGCCCGATGACGGGCAAACGGTGCCAAGGGATCTGGAATGGGTTAATGTTCGTGTATGTCCTAGCGTATCGCCTCGTTTTCGCCTGCTAAAGGGGTGGAAATACATAGTAGGATCATCGCGAACTGTTGCCAGTACCATGGAACACTCACGCTGATCCAACTGATCACAACCAAGATCTCAACAGATTTATACCCGTACGGAGTATAGGTTCCTTTTAGCCATGCTGTATTGTATCCTTGACAGATGTACTCTGTACTCCGTAATAGTGCACCATGTGTACGGTAATACAGGTCCACCCGTTGGGCCAACCCACCGGATCCTGCGATCGACGCCGCCTGTCGCCCGAGTCGGCAACCTTGACGCGCGCACCCCCCATTTTTGAGGCCGCACTCCGCAGAGAAGGAAGCTTGGGAGCTTCCCTCATGCTTCTGGGTCTTTTTGGGGGTTCTCCGATATGTTTCTAGGGTACCAGATACTCACCCTGTGAAGTCATCTCATCGTCTCAATATCTCGGTCTACCCCAGACGGCCGGGATCCATGGTACTACAGTTACACACTCCTACAGACCCATACTCGTACCCCGTAGGTTATCGTAGAATAGCATACACACCTTACTCGTAATCCGTGGATTAGAATAGAAATGAATGAAACTAGTGGATCTGATCGTCGAGTTCGCCTCAGACAATCTCAAACCGCCAGCATCAATATCACAATTTCAAATCATACGTCGATAGCCAGCAACTCTACACCGTTCTCGTCCTCTCGTATGTACATCACTCTGGCATGAATACCCAGCTGTGATTGGCCTACGGAGGATCTCGGTCGAATCTGTAGTCTATCCCATATTAGGACTAGTCCATATAGGTACCCGCCGCCTGGAAACTCGATTTTGAGTACTCGTACAAGTATACGGAGTAGACAGCATTAACCTGGATGGGAAACTGACTAGTTTTTCCCGCTTTGGAAATTGAAAAATAGAGTCATGACTAGCACTGACAGGGGTCCCTGCAATATTGGCCGACAAAATCCATGGTTCTGGGTGTATTGGAACAGGGGTTGTGCCAGGAAATCTGTGCCGTGGGTACCCGCCACTTGGATTCTTTGTTACGCGCCTACGAGTAGCGGGGGTTGTTCCAAAGTAAGCTCAGCTTTGATCGACAATCGTTGCGAAATGGGAAAGGGTAAAAAAGTAAAAAGGAAGCACACACAAAAAGAAAGAAAAAAAAAGTGGGTTCCTTCTCCCGGGCTATGCAATACGAGTACACAGCCTAGAGGGTTTCCAGGTTATTCCAGAGACTACGGAGTATCTACTCTGTACGGGTGAAAGCGTGAACGGAAAAGAATTGAAATTTGGAATTTAGGGTTTGTCGAGTCGGAATGAACCGTTAGTACACTGCACTTGTGCCTTGTGGCCGATCGCATTCTTTCGCAGTCGCTTGCTCCTTCGGGCCTTGAAACCTCCTGAAACCACTCCGATCTTCCTTGGACAGGAAGGTTCTATGTGTTGTCAAGATGGGGAAAGCTTGGTGCTCTTTCTGCCACCACCTCACCACCATCTTCCTTCTTCCTTCTATTATTCTGCCTCGTTTTTGGGTCACATCCCCGCCTACTCCGTACTGTCCGGACTAGTATCTCGTTCTATCGACTCAAGTGGTGACGAGATATGTACAGTTTCTTCTTTCGGAGGCCGACTTCTTGTATTTCGATATTTTGAGGTTTACTATGCTGAAGTTGGCAGGTCCCTCTGAGCTTAGCCACCAGCTGCCACGAGCGTCACCCTGGCTGTGCAGCCAAAACTACAATCCCAAAGACCGCCAAAAGCTGAGTGTTTGTGATTGATAGTATGGGGCACCATACTCCTGTGTATAGGTATAGTAGTGGCGTTTTCTATCTTCGGGGGCGCCCATCTATATTGCAAGGCAAAGCTACTGCTACTCCCTGTTTCGTACGGCCCTCTGAGGGTCTGCCTTGAGGACAAATAACATGTGCTTTAGGTCTTGCCAGAACGAATGAGTATTCTAGGCTCGAAAGCCACCCAATGAAAAAACTTCTATCCAAGAGAGAAACAAAATGAAAATGAAAATGAAAATGAAAGACAACTCCAGTGCTGCCTATGTTCCCATACAGTGTACAACAATTCCAATACCAGACCATAAAAGCCCAAACCAATCCCAATCCCATGAATTCCCTGCATAGATGAAGATGATAGTAGATGAATGATGGGGATCCCAGATGCAAAAACCATGGAAAAGGAAAATAAAAGAAATCGCTCAAGGGGTATAATTCGCTGTGCACATCATAACCAGATATCGCCTTCTTCACCATTCACCCATTGCGCCCAAACTGCCTCATAGGCATCTTCCAAGTCACGAACCCATCGCGCCGTGTCGAAGAGTTTGTTCTTGTATCGTTGCATAAACAACATCTGTCGCATGTCCGCCAAACGTCCCCTGGCACGGCCTTCGCCGGAGGGCAAGTATTGAAGATCCAGACAGAGCCGGACTGCCTTGGCCTCGTAGTCATCGTCTGACGAGGCAATCAGCTCCTCGCGGGCTTGCTTGCCATCCTCAGAACCTGGGAGGGCACTGCTTAGGATACTGCTCGCCATGCGAGAGCACATTTTGTACTTGTATCGCGGAAGCGTGAGCAATGGAGTCCCGCTCCATAAGACATCAGTGGCGGTCGTGTGGGCGTTGCACTCGGGCGTGTCCAAAAACAAATCCAACACCTTGGCCCGAGCAATATGCGTATTTTTCGGTGCAACGTCCGTGAAAATTATGCGGGACGCCGTTTCTTCACCAGCCCACGCCTTGGCTGTTTCGCGGAGGTTCTGTTCGCCCAATTCCGGGAATCGTAAAAGCCAAAGAACGGCATTTGGGATGCGCGCCAAAATGCGCAGCCATGTTCTGAATGTAGTTGGTTCAATCTAGGAAGGTTAGTTACTCGTGCGAACGAGACGGCTTTGTAGGGCCAGGAGATCGTAGAAACTCACTTTGTAAAGTTGATTGAAGTTACCAAGGATGATCTTATCGTCGCCGAGCTTTGGGAAAAGTTCCTTTCGCATTCGCCAGCGACGAATTTGTTCATCGTCCCACGACATCAGTCGTTCTCCCGCATCAGGGGCGCTTTGTCGATGATCACAGCAGAAGAATGTATCGCGCGTAAACACAATCTTCTCACCGTAGACCCAGTTCTCAAGCTCCTCGCCATTGTCACCTTCGAGGATCCGGTCCTCGATGTGGGTCGACCGTTGCCCGGGACTTAATGTTTCGGGAGGTATCGAGACTTGGTCAGCGAGAATGTAATCACACCACTCTGCACCGAGGGTGCCGGCAAAGCCCATGAAGGACATGTGAATCGGTGCGGGTCGTGCGGCAAAGACCTCGTTGCGAGCCCCACGGGTGTAACCGTTCAAGTTAATGAGAATATGAATCTCATCTTCGACAATTTGCTGGACGAGTCGATCCACTGACCAGCCACTGGCATCGTGGAATACCGGAGCTTCCTTCTCGATTTGCTGCCTATGGACGGACTTGTCGCTGCCGGTGGTAGCGTAACAATACGCCTTGACTCGATTCGTGTTGTGCAATCCAAATACCGATTGCATCAGGTGTGCCAAGGGGTGATTGTTAAAGTCCGATGAGACGTAGCCAACTCGAAGATATGGTTTGGGTGGCGACGGTGGTCGATAAACCGTACTGGGGAGCCATGGCAGTCTCAAAGTCGAAGATGAGATTCGGAGGCCATTACGTTGTGAGATCTGACGAATTTGCTTCGCAGAGAGGGGGCAAGTAAAGGTATGGAAAG